TCAAATATGTCACGGGTAGGTTGCCAGGCTTTGCTGTGTGGGTGAGATACTCTCAGTAGCTTTCTCGCTCTCTGAGAGGGCTGGAATCAAACCCGGGTCGGCCGCGTGCAAGGCAAATGCACTATTCCAGCGTTGGCGGTGGTATGACCCCAATTGTCACTGTCACTGTCCTCCCGTTGTTCATCGATTTCCTTGAGCAGGCCAAGTAACATTGTGAGACTTGTTACCGTGTTTACCATATCAACTATGTCACAGGTAGCTTGCTAGTCTTTGCCATGTGGGCGAGATACTCTTGGTAGCTTGCCGGGCTCTCCAAGAGGGGGGTGGAGGAATCGAACCCCGGGTGGGACATATTGGCTGCGTGCAACGCAAATGCCCTATCCGCTGTGCTATTGCTCCAGCCCATGACCCCAATTGAAAAATAATAAGGTATATTCACCTCTAAGGTAAACAATTGTTTCATAACACAGCCAACTAATACATCTTATGTCGACACCATCAGACTCAAGGAATGGTTGATTTAGGCAGTGTCAAGTGTTTCCATGTGAAAAATAAAGCACTGACTTTTCACACTCCCCAGTCAATATTCTAATTATAGAAAAAAACCCTCAATTTTCTAAAGCACTCTACCATACACTAGATGGTTTTCTTAAACCCGGTGGGGGGGGGGGGGGCGGGAATGAGATGATGTGCTCTATTACTACTAGATTCCTTAGACTTTAGGAGGAAATTGTGATCTATTATATGACAGTAATCATAACTTAATGCCAGAATCCAAAAGGGCTGGCGGCAAGATTTGCATGTAGGAGCCCCATTTTTAATTCCTGGCACCACGTGGTCCCCTAAGCACTTCTGGGAGTAACCATGAAGCATGGAGGTGACAACAGCCCCCCCTCGCCCCCCATGCACTACTGGGTGTGCCTCCAATAAGCAAAAACCTTAAAAAAATCAGTGACACAAACAATGAAAAGTACACAAATACATATGAAAAGTAGATAACTACTAAAACTGGAGTGGAGAGGGAAGTTCTTTACACAAGTTTGAAAGTTTCCATAAATAATGTATTTTAGGGTTTGTGTTACTATACTGAGTTTTCTAATAAATTAGGACACACTCATGGATTTAATAATGAAGAAAAAGAAGTATTAGAATAATGTTATTGTCCTTTTGTTACTAACAATAGTTCGCTAATTGGTTAATAGTTAACAATAGTTCTTGTTATTTTCACAGAATCTATTGGTTTTGGTTAAAAGACAATTTGAAAGCGGTAAGCAATGTGATAATAAATTTTTCAATTAAAGTAGGAAGTTTCTGTGTATAGATATATACATAAGATTTATTCTCATTTTTATATATAATTTTGAACTCAATTTAAAATGCCTTAAAACAACATGTATCAGAATATATACATATGGGTTGGTGCGATAGCACAGCGGGTAGGGCATTTGCCTTGCACGCAGCTGACCCAGGTTCGATTTCTCCGTCCCTCTTGGAGAGTCTGGCAAGCTACCGAGAGTATCTCGCCCGCACAGCAAAGCCTGGCAAGCTACCCATGACATATTCGAGATGCCAAAAACAGTAACAACAAATCTCACAATTTGTTGTGAGATGTTACTGGTGCCTGCTTGAGCAAATCCAAATCGATGAACAATGGGAGGACAATAAGAGAACTTACCATTCTCTTTTATTATATATACATATAATAAGATTATATATATACACACATACATACAAATGAGCAAACTTTTATAGCACCATTCATTTAAATAAATAAATAAGTACCTACAAAAGAAAAAGAAAAACCTCTCAGGTGTATTACATTAGTAAATTCTATGTGCTTGACATGTAGGAAAAATAAAAATTTTTGATAAAGACATATTTAATTCCAGTGTCTCTCCATCCCCCACCCTACCCCCAAGCATCCTCATACCTCCTGAAATCTCCTATCTCCCAGCCAGATCACACCCTCTGTTGTATCTCTGCCTTACACACTACCTGGGATTTTTTCAAAAGTAAAACTTTGCGTTCCACTCTACACTTCTAACTCTACACATATCTCTCTCTCTCTCTCTCTCTCTCTCTCTCTCTGTATATATATATATATATACACATATATATCAGAGACCTATACATAAATAGCCACAAAATCTTACATATAAAATATAAGAGAAAATAGTCGAAGAAAATTAAGTTATCGTTACAAGAAGCTTGATTCCATAAATGCTTGATTGTGATTATTTTCCTTATTGGTCCAAAATATATAGACTTGAAAAAAGCCTACACACTTATACCTTACTTATCTGAATACTGTATTCAAATAAAATTGTGTTAAACTTTTAGGCCCTATCTTTTCTTTCAAAACTGAGATGAACACTCTTGGATTAAGGGAAAAATAAATTACCGGTCAGAGATTTCTTGTTTGGAGGAAGTGACATGCATGTCTTCTCCTCCTTCTCCTTCTCCTTCTCCTTCTCCTTTCATTTTCGCTTCTTGGGTCACACCAGCAATAATCAGAGGTTACTCGTAGCTCATGCACTCAGGAGTTACTCCTGGTGGTACTCAAGGGACCATATGGGATGCTGGGAATCGAACCCAGGTCAGCCCCATGCAAGGCAAAGGCCCTACCCGCTGTGCTATTGCTCCAGCCCTGACATGCATGACTTCTTGAGAGCAACTATATTATTAAATTTTACTATTTGTAATTGGACCAAGACAGAATATTACAAAGGCCTTTGATTGACAGGAATCCAGATCTCTGTTCTAACACAACTGGTCAGTGGAGATTGTGCATTAGATGTCTTCCATCTTTATCTATTTTATTATCACTATATGAAAATCATGCCTCTAATGACATTTAATCAATATTTTATGTACATGCAATATAAGAAAGTATGTTCATCATATGTGCCTCAATTATACATGCTTACCATTCTCTCTTATGAATATTCATGCTTTTCCCTGAAAAAATCTTAATATGCACATAACTAAATCTTAATATGCACATATTAATATGCACATAACTAAAACTTTATCCTAAAGAGACTATTACAAATTAATATACAGTGGGCAGGACACTTGTCTTACATATAACTAACCCAAGTTGAATCCACAGTAGCCCATATGGTCTTCTGTGCCCTTTTAGGAGTGATCTTTGAGTGCAGATCCAGGAGAGAGGCCTAAGTACCACTGAATGTTGCCACAAAAAGACAAACAAAAAACTGAATATTACATAGATGCCCTCATTTAAGGAAATGGAGAAAGAAAAAGCACAAAAGAAACAGATTGGAATTAATGGAGAAAGAAGGAAGAGATAGAAGAGAAATGAACTTTCATGCCTTAGACAGTTCTATGTTGATATCACAGAAATATATCTGTAATAGGTAATACAAAATACATTTAAGAAATAAATGCAATCATAACCTAGTGTGATCTTTTATAATCATAAATGATGAATGCAATGATGATGATAAATTTACTTAAGATATAATGTTACAAACTTTGTGACAAGTGAGGTTTTTTATGTTTATTTTCTTTATTCCCAAAAATTTTGTGAAGATTCTACCATTCTGTGCCTATCACAGATGACAAAAAATCATATGGATAATTTAAACTCTTAAAACATTCACAGATTGCAAATGGTAGAAGGAGATTTAAATTAGACACTCAGATTTCAGTGGAAGTTCAACTATTTTCTATGATAATTCACCCCAATTTGCCTTTCTATCGTTTTGGAAGGCACTGGGAAATGAACCCAAGGCCACATGTACATTTAGCTTATTTCTGACATAACTTCAAGCCTCAAATCTAAATTTTTAAAAACTAAGGCAAGGGAGGAATGGATTGGAGCATACATGGCTATCACTGCAGAGTATATAGCTGATCTAAAGCTCTTTTGTGCTATTTTTAGGCCTTTGGTCCATTTCAAAGAAGCTTTACATAAAAGTTAGAAAGGGTTACTTATTTAAAAGGATGATTTCTAACACTGATCCTCAGATGTGAAAGGAAAGAAAAAGTCAGAAACCAGACATAGAAATATTTGACAAATTAATTTGGAGGATTTCCCTTGCATTAGAGACAGAGATTTGAAGACAGACATATCTTAATTCTAATACACATCTTAGCCTACCTTTATCTTACACAATATGTCCAAATAGGGCCAGTTTCTTTATTTTTAGAAACAGTATAAATAACTAAAAGAAAACCCTAATATATAATGTTTGTTGGTAGATGGGAAGTCATTCTAGTAAAAATATTTAAATTCAATTCCACAAGAGTGTAGTAGCTAATATGTAGTCAGAGGGGGAAATTATTACTAGTAATAGATATATTTTAGTAGATATCCTATGGTCTCCACCAGTTTCTCTTCAGAATAAATTTAATATTCCACATCACCAAAATACTCAACAGTCTTAAAAATCATGTACCTCGGAATTAAAATCATAATTTAAAAAAAGATCAAGGTAAAAAATAAATAAATCGGATACCCTCAAAAGGAAATAGACTGAAATTTCCAACTCCAAGTTGATTTTCCCTCTGATTAGATTGGGGATGCATAAAGGAAGAATGGCAGAAAATACCTATTTTTTCAAGGCAGTTATAAGCAAGTTTGATAACTCAAAAGAAAAGAGGAAAACAAAAAATAAAAACACCCAGGTAGCAAAAACCTTAGTATTTCCTTCCCAAGTCCTTCACTGCAAAATTTGTTATTTAAGAAGCATGTGAAAATTACTGTGAAAAACATAGGACATATGTATTTTATTAAACTAACAAAAAAAGCGGAACAAATAAATGGCTTATAATGGAAAGCTTTTATGAGCAGTTCAGATCTTTTACACTGCAAAAAGAGTAGAAGGCTTCCAATAACCCCAAATAACCTTAGAATTCTCACATTTTCTAAGAATGCCACGAGCTACCCTACGTGTCCTTTCAGCCTTCTCTTTAGCTAATGCATTTTAGCAGATCACAGTTCCACTCCCCACAGCTGTTGGGAGCTTGCTTACCCACTGTTGATGTCATCTGTCCTGAGACTTTTTCCAAGGATATCACCATCACTCATATATCCACCAACGTCCACTTCAGAAGACATGTCCAAGTCACTGCTTGCTTTCTCACTCATGTCAATTTGTGCCATGTTTCCCAGTCGAGAGACCGCTGCTCGCCGTAGTGGTGTAGTATACATAAAGCGTGAGGGGTCTGTGTGTATGAAGCGACTGGTCCCGCTGCGGGGGTAGCCTGCACCCAGTGAAGGGGCATCTCCAGCCTGAAGGCGAGGACAGGCCTGTCCCAACCTCCAAGTCAGGGGAGTGGGTCTACTTGTCAGATTGGGGATGGTCCTTCCATTCACTTCCGTCGTCACAGTGCTGTCAAATGTGGTCTCCAGGGTGCTGTCAAATAGGATGAAAACATCACTATCCCCAATCTTACTTGGGGGATAAAGACCATGACTGTTAAGCCAAAACTAGAAGTATTTCTCAGAAATGCATCCTCTTTGTGAAATCTAAATGATATATGCATTTAGAAAGTCTACATACCTCGGTAGATGTCACAATGGAAGAAGGGGCATTCACTTAGATTTTTTCTTTATTTCTTAATTTTATTTTGCTTCAAAGGTCATCATTCCATATTAAACAAAATATTGCCACACATTTTCAATAAATGCTTAACTTAAACCACTGCAACTTACTAAAACTATTCTTGAAATGAATATTTGAAAGTCTCTACCACCTCACTACAAATATATTGAACTGGAATTTCTGCCACTGCTTTCTAGGAAAACTGTGAAAATTTACTAAGTGGTGACAGTACTGTCTTAGCAGTAAGTTCAGTTTGAAGAGGAAACTGAAGCATTCCCAAGATATGACTTAGTATGGTACAGTTTGATTATAATATAAAATATAAGGGAAATAGAAAAGGAAAATTAAATTAACAGCATAAGAAGATTGATTCTCTAAGTGTTTGCCTGTGTTTGACTATATATATATTTTTTCTTATAGGCCCAAAGATGCATAATTAAGAAAAACCTGTGGCTGATCTGGGTCCCACGGAGGCTGGACATAGTCTCTTCTAAATTCTGCCTCAAATCTGCTATGTTTTTAACTGTTCTCATTCGTCTTGTTTCAGGGTCTTCACCTAGAAAAGAAACATGATGATGAATTTGCCACTCATGTCATTTGCTGTTCAGAGAATAACCATTTCTGTGCATAAGAAAATACATGTTTCTTAGAGATAAAATGACAGGAAATTTCAAAACAAGTATTATCATTGGAAAATTACAGTACTTTCTATAAATAAAATGAGAGTAGAGAGATATAAATATATAATGACACAAACAACAGTTTGAAGAGCCTTTTAGGCCTACGACTTTATCTTTTGCAAAATAAGAATTATTTGAAAATATACTACTCATACTAATAAGCTTAATTCTGGTAATTGTATTTTTGGATCTGTTATGTCCACAATGGTCTGGTCTTAAGCCAAAATAGCTGAGATAGAGTCGCCTTATGTGGGAGATACAGATATATATATATATATATATATATATATATATATATGTCAGATTTTTCTTTATGGAATTTTAGGTATCTTTGTTTTAATTTATTTTTGTTTGTTTGAGGGATGTACCTAGAGATGCTCAGGAATTACTCCTGGCTTTGTAGTCACAGATAACTCCTGCTGGTACTTAGTCGCCCATATGTAATGATGGAAGTTAAACCTGGGTTGGCTATGTAAAACACAGGTGTCGAAACCTTTGGACCATCTCTCCAGCCTAAAATAGTTTTACGTTTAATTATTAATCCATTTTTTAAGAAAATAAAATAAAGGATTAGAATTTCAATAAAGTCCTAGATATCTAAACTCAGAATATATCCAACAGGCATGAAACAGGTACCTCTTGCAGCTTACAAAATCACAACTTCACCAAGCCACTATCAATTGTTTTGGGGCAGAGGTCCCATTGGACCATTCTGTTTATGGTCATATTATACTTTCTAGGCATGAAACATTTGATGCCGGCACATGTGGATAAGAAGAACAACATGGAAAGAAAGTAGAGAAAATACAACTTTTATTTCAATGCTTGATACCACAGAGTCTCCTAGAACTGTGAATAGTGATTCCCAAGCACTGAACTGGAAGTAGAGCATGAGAATCACCAAGTATGTCTCTCTGCAAAATAATAAAAATAACAATAAAAATAACAATAACAATCCTACCACACAAACAAATCAAGCTGCATATCTACAACCTAGAACATAGGTAGATATTCAAACTGTTACTCTGCTTTTATAGTATTCATGGCAGAGTTTTTCACTGTATCATTGTATCACTGTCATACCATTGGTCATCGATTTACTTGAGCGGGCACCAGTAATGTCTCCATTGGTCCCAGTCCTGAGATTTTAGCAGAGTTTTTAAAGACATAAAATATACCATATACCATTAATTAAATATGGTAGATAAGGGTTGTGGAAGTTGCCTTGGCATGCACCAAACCAAGGAGTGAACTTTTTTATGTCTCACTTGGGCTTTGGGCATGAGTCTGACTAAAACATTCAAGACTTGAAAGGTTTCCTCCTCTCTGTGAAAAGACAGTTTCAATGTTACATCTAATTGCAAAAACATTTATAAGGATGAAGAATCATTTGCCTTCCTTCAACTTTTTCCAGAGGTCCCCATGACTCTGAAATTTACTAAACAATTTTATCCTACTGTTATCATGGCAGTCACTCAAATATGGGAAACAACAGTTTGTCTCATAATTTTCTCCTTCAGTCAAATATTCATTATTTATCTTCTAGGATGGTAACCAAACCAATAACAATTCCCCTTACAGTATATAATCTCAGTATATAATAGAGTACATATACAGTATATAATCTCAGTAACAGGTAAGTAACGAATCATTTTCAACTCAATAATATTGTTATTTTAAACTTAACACTTAAAAGAATTCTCTAAATATAATCTTAGGAACATAGAAAAACACATATTGTATCCTCATGAAAATGGCATATCTTTTACCTACACTATAAGTCATGCATTCTCAAAATTTAATACCATTCTTTTAAACTTCAAAACTGTTAAAAGTTCTTAAGACTAAAGTAATTATTGTCCTTGCAAATATGTTATCCTCAGCCTCATATATTAAAAACAATATTGTACATTTGATAAATGGTTAGAAACAAATTACTTTATTTTAGGTACCTGAGGTGGTTTGGGCCACATTCAGTAATGCTAAAAGGATATTTTTGATTCTTTCCTCATGAGTGCCCCCTGGAAGTGCTCAGTGGACCATATATGGTGCTGGAGGGATCAAACTAATGTCAGCTGCACGTAAGGTGACCTCTTTAACCTCATACTATCTCTCTAGTTCCCCAATAAGCCTACTTTCATTTCCAAACCCATGACAGAACCCTGAAGTACAAGAATTTTGTAGTAAAAAAATTTAAAGAACGAGGAAATAATAGAAGGAGAGTCCAAAGAAAGGGAGAGGTGAAAAAGGTTTTATTCAAAGTGATTCAAAAGAGATAACAAAGGATGGGCCAGAGTAATAGTTGAGCAAGTAGAGTCATTGCCTTGAATGTGTCTGACTTAAGTTTGATCCCCAGTTCCACACATGGTCTGAGAACCGCCAGGAATAATCCTTGAGCAAAGAGTCAGGAGTAAACCCTGAACACCACTGGAAAAGAACTAAAGGTAGAAGAAAGGAAGGAAGGAAGTGAGGAAGAAGGAAGGAAGGAAGGAAGGAAGGAAGGAAGGAAGGAAGGAAGGAAGGAAGGAAGGAAGGAAGGAAGGAGGGAGGGAGGGAGGGAGGGAGGGAGGGAGGGAGGGAGGGAGGGAGGGAGGGAAGGGAGGGAGGGAAGGAAGGAAGGGAGGGAGGGAGGGAGGGAGGGAGGGAGGGAGGGAGGGACAGAAAGCAAAGGGGATAAATTAGAGATATACTAACATCAATATTCAGTATATAGCATTTCAAAAGGAGCTAGAGAGATAGTATAGCTGGTAATGCACTTATCTTGCAGACTATCAACCTGCAAGTGCCAGCATCCTATATTTCCCCTAACCACCACCAAGAGTGATTGCTGAACACAGAACATCGTCATCATCATCATCATCATCATCATCATCATCATCATCATCATCACCATTTCATGCAGAATAAAAGTCTTAGATTCTAAATAATAGTAAGAAAAGAGCAATCTTAAAGGAAGAGGGTGTTGAAATGAACTTTGTTGAAAGAAAAATTTCAAGCCACTCACCTAAAACAAGTTTCTACAACACACTAGAGTTATACACCTATCTCCAATTCCCTTCCCTATGAGAAAACTTTTACTTTATAATCATGCTGTATCTCTACCTTCTGCCTCTCAGTATAATATTAGTATGTTGATAGTGAAATAATTTTAATATATTTTATATTAACTTTTAAGAACTTCACATTTTTGTACATTGTTTCATTGATTTTTTTGCATCTTATTCATCATCTTTCAAATTTGTTTCTTCAAATCCAATCCAAATTGCTTCTTCCAATATTCTTATAACTTTGCATTCTTCCAGTGGATTTGCTTCTTTGTGCTTTACATTTTAGGACCATAGCCTTCTAGACCCTTTGTTTATTCCTTCTCAGGATAGCTACCAATGATACTGCACTGATCATGAAAATGAAACATATGGGTCTTTTCCTCCCATTTCTTAGTGAACAACGCATAACTGACACCTCATTCATGTCATGCAATTTAATGAGAAATTCAAATTTATTGTGGTAAAAATATTCAATGACCCACAAAAGGCAAGTTAAAATTACTTTCTGCTTCCATACATCCTAGTTAAGTATTATACAGTCTGAAATATCCTTTGAGTTGTATACAAATGATAGCTAGAAGACTGGAGATTGGGATAGAGAGGGAAAGTCCAGTGTAAAAGCACAGATGGAATTAACTGTTTAGCAATGAATAAAAGTTAGCAGAAAATACACATGGGAATATATTTCATCACAAAAACTTGCACACACAAACACAGTCATAATCTCAAAGTCACGGGTCATCCCTGAAGGATATATGCAAAGATTAACACCCATTTTCTGGAATGGTGCATTCTGCAATTTGCTTTGAGTTTGCAGCATTGGTGAAAACTGCTTTCTCATTGCTTGCAAGATATTCCCTATGGGTAGGGCACAGAGTAGCAAGCTTAACTTGGTGCTTCTGTACTTTCACAGCAGAAGGACCATTTAATCTCTGTGACCCTGCTCTTGCATGTTAGTCTTTAATTATACACATAATAATCAACACTGTCAACACTGTCATCTCTTAATAAAAAAGCAAATTATAATGAATCGGACTCACATAGAATTCCTCCACACCATCTACTTTATAAGTATTATTTAGAGCATATCTCTAATGATTTAGTTTAATAAATAAGCTCAATTTAATTGATGCCCCAATAATAATATACATAGAAAAAATTTAACTTATCCAATTAAGTTAGGCACTTTGGAAAGAAAATAATCAAACATAACTAACAATTTTATATTTATCTTTTAAATATTCTCCTATATAGTGATATCACATTGTCTGATTTATTGAGATAACCATGAGTGTGGACTTGAACTCATGTAATCCTGTTGAAAAACTAACTTAGTAAAAGAGGCCATTTTGAGTCAGAGGCAGAACCAATAAAGCACGTGGCAGATATGTTGAAATCCTGTGTGCTTTGGTCTTGGCTGTATTCACCAACTTAAAATGATCGTCATTTAGGGAATTGTGCCGGGATGTTTCATTATCCTGATATGATTATTCATATCAGAACTATTTGAATTAAACTCTTCTTACTTTCTCACTAGCATTTTTGAATACTGAAAAAAAAAGGAGAAAAAAAAGACCCTAAAGACAAAAATCCCAGAAATACAATAAGCAGGTTTTTTAAAATGGCCTGCAGAGTCTTCTGTTGAGAGGTTGTCTTGTCAAGTTATTGATGCACAAAAAGGCATGTGTCATGCATACTCCCACTTACAGCATGCTATAATTCAACGGAGAAGCCAACAAATACTGTCTACGGATTGAACTCTGTTCACATCTTTTAAAGTACTCAAATACTTTATAAGGAGCTTCTTATAACAAGATAAATGCTACCAT